GAACCAGGTTACAAGCTGCAGGAAGCCTGATTGTTAGACTAACGTTTGATGCCGCTGTGACTGTGTCCTCCATAGCTGCAGACATCCTCCCACTTTATGAAAGACTTGGGTCTGGACAGCTTGGACCAGGTGGAGATCATCATGGCCATGGAGGACGAGTTTGGTGAGTGTCGATGTTCACACCGCTTCATGGAGCAGCTAGTCTTTTAGGGCCACCCAGGGTACTGTGTAGTAAAACTACAACTGGGGAGATGAGGCGTCAGGTCAGCACTAGAGAAGTGTTACTATTGCATATGAGCGAAGCCCAAACTGCTAAGACCTGGAGACAGAGCACAAAGGCAGAACTTAGGACCTGCTGTAGCAACGGACTTCATGCTTTAAGGATTGAGAGCTGCAACCACTAGTTGATTGACAGGGGACTGATCATTTTATTCCCGTAAAAAGCAACAATTGCAGAATATTCTCATTTCAGCATCTCCATAGTGAGGATTTGCTGCTTTGTCCTGTCTAAATCCTTTCATACCATAAATTCTTACATGATGTCTGTTATTACAGCGGGTCCAAAGCTCTACCTTTACCCGTATCTCCAGTTTGGGCCTCACTTGTATCCAGTAGTAACACTTCTCTAGTGCTGATCCGACCCCTCTGTCTGTAGTCTACTGTGCAGTACAAGACTGTTATGAGGTGTAGTCTGTGCAAACCAAGAAAAACGTGACCTGAGAAGTTCCCTCACTCCGTGTACATTTGATTCCTCTGCAGTGAATCAGATTTTACTCGTTTTCATGTAGGTGTGAACATACTGACAACAGAAACCCAGGCAGTAGCTGTTGGTCTTCACGGTGTGTTCAGGTGCAGTTTTCTGCAGGAAATGAGGCGACTTCCTGACTGTGTGTTGTGCTGCAGGCTTTGAGATCCCTGACGTAGAAGCAGAGAAGCTGATGACTCCTGATGAGATTGTACAGTACATCGCAGACAAGCAGGATGTTTATGAATAATCTGGTCTATGGCTCACTGCAGAGGTAGGTCTGTTTCCCTCCACTTTGCCTGTTGTGGGATTTCATCCTGAGAAGTCATGCCAGTATGTAATAGGCTTTTTGTTTCCCCTCCTTCCAGAGAGGTTGACCCCAGTGTGGCTTCACAGGAACTACTTGAGGAGCCAACAGGCACCAAACCGTTTCCACCTCCTCCCTGTCAGCTTTTCTGTCCATACCAGTGTAGGCACCAGATCAGCTCGGGCTCCTCTGCTTACAGCTGACGTCACACATTATGGCTGGTGTGATATTTGGTGCATGGCTGTCACACTGTGTAAACTTCGCACTAATGTCTCACATCGATGTTACATTGGTAACGGATCGCTAGCTGTTGGTCAGACATTACCTAAGCCAGTGCAGCTCCTAGTTTCTCACATCACTATTATATAAAATGAGAAACTAGTAGCAGCGCTTGCTTAGGTTGTAGTGCAGAGTCTACAGTGATGTTCAGCCAATCATATCGGTGGCATTAGCTGCAAGCACTGGCCCCTGAGCTGACCCGGTACCTACAGCGCCATTGTTGGAATCAGCTGCTGTTTTGTGTTGATGTAAATGAACATGTATTTTGGGAGCACAGAAATAAAACTAAGGTCACTTTTTTTTTTCCCTTCCAACTCCACCCTGTGGTTCTCATGTGTAATTTCCCAAAGATTAATAAAGAAGTTCTGTGACTTGGCTGTGGTGTAGGGTAGCTGGAACTCACAGACATTGACATTTGCCCAGTTCTGTGGGTATAGCCAAAGTCTCATCACTCCTGGAGGAGCCATAGATGAGACGTCTCATCTCATTCCTCCGTCTCCTTCATTCCTGTTCGCTGCAATACAGATCCAATTAAGGGAATTGGGATTTATGGATGGTCCCATACACCGTTCAACATACAGCAAAACATGTTCAGAGATGCTCCTCTGATTCTTCATCAGTAGCAGTCACTCACCACCTGGTTTTTGATAAAGGTCCATAAAAGACGTACCTGAAGGATTCTCTCGTGCATCCTCGCTCATGGCTCCTCCAGGTGGCCTCCTGGATCCTAAAAGCTGAAATGTAAGTGCATTTAAAGGTGTAAAAGTGGAGCAAAGACGCTGACTGTAAGGCAATATCAAAGTTTACATTTCCCCTCCGTCATTAACTATTAGAGTATTTGTATGCATTGTTTTAGAATTGAAAGAAGGATAAAGGGAGGGAAGAAAGAAGGGAAAGTAATATAAAAGGAAAAGCATAGAATCAAAGGAGGCATGACGGATGGAAGTAAATAAGGAGAATAAACATTGTGCCAAGAAGATCAGTTTATTGTAATTAGAAGTATTTGTATTAAACAGTAGCATTGTTAGAAATACTAGTAGTGATAGAGGTTATAAATGGACTAGTACTGGCAGAGAGAGAGTGCAGTAATAACAGGCAAGGACGCATCATGGATTAGAAGAGACTCAGAGTTTATGTTCGTAGAGAGGACAAATGGGTGATCAACCAACAAACTGCATCATTAACCGTCTCATCCTTCAACGACTGAGCCAAACCTGAGAAACACTTTGCCTCACAAAACGGACTACTGCAGGAAAACTGATACCCTGTGAATATATTAGTGCAGTAATAACAGACAAGGACGCATCATGGATTAGAAGAGACTCAGAGTTTATGTTCGTAGAGAGGACAAATGGGTGATCAACCAACAAACTGCATCATTAACCGTCTCATCCTTCAACGACTGAGCCAAACCTGAGAAACACTTTGCCACAGGAAAACCGATACCCTGTGAATATATTCCATAAAAAAGGATTTATCATGAGCAATAAGGAACTGTCATCCGAAAACTGGGTGTGAACCGCTGGACGACGGGACTGAACGCAAGAAGTGCAGCTCCCAAATCATAACATTTCTACATTTTCCATGTACGATTTATGAAAGAAGAACAAAACTTTCAATGAGTGCAGAGGCATCGCAGGCTGTAGGCTCATGAATGTTCCATCACAGAAGCCGAAAGATGAACAAAATCTTAAAATGGCAGCAGCCAAAGCTCAAGTAGTTAAAAAAAAAAAAAATCTGGAAGACCAAAACAGATAAAGGGTTAAAAGCTTCTAGTCTCATTTAAAGCTTAATATTTCTATGACAAAACAGGAAGCTGACAAAAAGTGGAAAGTTTAGCCCCCCACTGAAAGCATTTTAAGAAGTTAACACAAAATGCAAAAGCTAATAAGAAAATAGACCTGAAGTCCTTAAGACGGCGCATGTTTTAAAGTTTGAAGCCCAAAGTGTACGGAAGTAGATAGGAACAGAAAAAGGCCGAAATGAATAAAATAAAAACCATCAGCTCTCCTGACTAACGCGTGTCGTCATGCCACAAGTCTAGTTTGAACAGTTTCCTGGTTACATGCAGAAACATTGGTGGTGGTGGTGGTGGTGGTGGTGTGTATACAATCAACTCAGATTCACATCATTTTAAAGACATAACTTGCAGGTCAACAGGTCACTTTGGTAGGATGCGCCTGTCGCTCCTTTTCTCGCTGAATTCCCCCCCTTTTGCTCTAAACGTCAACAATGATTTTTAGTGACATCTGGTGTCATTAGTGCAGATGCCTGATGTTTTTATATCACTCAAACGTTGTACAAATGTATAAAGTGTAGTTCACACCAGACATCTAACTGCAAAAAAATTATCACAGGGTTTAAATGTTTTACAGCTCTTATGTCACCTTCACTGGAACAGGTTCACTGACAAACTGCCGAGGAGAAATAAAGACTCCGGGAGGCGACCGCCGAGTCACTGTTAGTCTTTTATTGAGGGTTGTACCCAAGTTATACAGCCTTGTATGCTGGCTGCAGGAGCCAGAGGGTTACAAACAGTAATCAGTATACGAGTACAGCCAACAGAAGACCTACTACTCTACACCTTAGTACAGATTTCCTTAAGAGCACTAGAATCCAGAGAAATAAGGAAAAAAAAAAATACAATACAAACCAAGCAACGAAGGAGAATAAAAGATTAAATGAAACCAAAACAGCATCAGAGGAGACATTCATTATTATAGCACACTGGAGTCGGTTTTCTATACCTTGTAATATTAAGCAACTTTGTTTTTGTCAATTTTTATACCCATACAAATAAAGATTGTCCTTCAAAAAGTGCAGTTTCCGCCGACGTTTAAGATAAAATCCTTTGCTGACCCGAGGAAGACGTGTGAAAATAAAAAGGTACTTCCTGTTTTGTTTGTGAGAGGAAGACGTCCTCTCGATTATAGACACTGTACGTTTATATTCTCATATATAATATATATTATATAGTTTCAACAGTCTCCCCAAAGCGATGTGCATAATATGTTTACAGGTGACCCAAGTACACACTGTGGATTGATAGAATCTCTACAAAATACATTGTAGTTGTGGAAAATTTGCAGCTTCGCTGGCTTCTCGAGGAGACAAGCTGTGAAAATAAACAAATGGACTTTGCAAATCTGAACCTGTCTCTCCTGCTACAACTGGCCCGACGCCTGCTAGGTAATAAAAGTTTTCTCAGTTTGTATTATTTGTACGATTCAACGATGGCACAACATGTTTGAGGAATATTATTGGGAATCCCAACTCAACTGTGTTCAAGTTTTTTGGGATTTTAAAAAAAAATTATTATTAAAGAAAGCAAAAAACCCAAGGTGGACATGGAAGCCTGGGTTCAACACTCCACTGCATAGTCTCTCGGACCCCCACCCCCTTTTCTTTTTTTGTTTGTTTTTGTTGTTTTTTTGTGTCAAAAAATAGGCTGAACGCTTCTGATGGACAGTAGGAGAAGAGGGGTGCGTGTTATGAAATAATAGCATTTGCTCACAGGATAGTTAAGAGAAAAACAGTCACATTATTTTTCTTAAATATTAAAAAGCAGTAGAGTGTCACCAGCCAGCTTCCCTCCTCTCCTACCACCTTCCCTTCCTTCCTTCGCTCCCCTCGTCTGGCCCTGTTGGGAAGCTGCTTGGCAGCCCTGGGGATTGTACATTGCTCATGGCGGTTTTCACTCGCTGAAAAGGTTTCCTCACATCATCCTTTTGCAAATTACATTTTTTTCTTCAAGCATTTATCATTGTCCAGCTTTTTAAATACACAATAAGTAAATCGATCCTTTTCCTTCCCTCCTGAATTTGGCATGAAAATGTCTTCGAACACACACACACACACACTTTCTTTACAAGCCGATTTTTGCATCTTCAACACCACACACACACACACACACACACACACACAGTGGACTGAACGAGACAGAGTGAGATTCAGCTGGGAACCAAAACAGTAACAACAATGGAAGGTGTTTACAGACAGTGCTTGTCCCTTCTCTAACAGCAGAGTGATGCTGCCTCCTGAGCTGCTTGGGCCAGTTCTTCCCCTGCTAATGGTTAAGGTACGGATACTGAGGAGGGACAAAACCACTCCCAGATCAGCAAGAGGAGAGAAGCATTGCCAAAAAAAAAAAAAATGAATGAATGAATGAAGTGTGAAGTTATTTCATCAAGACTGGAAAGGGAATACAGACTGTTTGGAGTTCACCTGCCCCAGACCTCCTGTCAGTTTTGGGTTTTCTCTCCTGTAGTTACACTCCAGAGCTGGACAGTGAGCTGATCCTGGGTAAGTCGACAAAGAGGCAAGTGCAACCCTGTGTCCCTGAAAAGCTGATATAAAAAAAAAAAAACAAAATCACAGCCCACTGCCCGAGTTGTCGCAGGCCAACGAGAAGCCTCGCCGTGTTTCAGTCAAGCTCAAGATAGGAGCATCTCCACGGCAACAGCCACAAGTGATCACCATGACAACCAGGTGTGGTCAGAACAACAGCTGAATACTTCAAAATACACACACAAAGAAAATAGAACAAAAAACAAACAAACAATGAGCATCTTCTGGGAGCAGTGGTTCTACGTTTGAGGCTGATCGGGTGCCAGAGAAGCCGTCGTTTCTACTTAAAACCGTTTTAGCTACATTCTGGCTCAGTTCGGGCAGCTCAGAGACGTCGCCGCACTGACCGGCCAGCCCAGTGAACAGGGAGAGGCAAACGACAGCCCCCCTCCTGCTTCTCTTGCTCCCTCACAGGGACCGACAAAGCACCATCTTCTCCAATCACAACACACAATGTCCACCTTAGTTGAGAACATGGAGACACACACACACACACCCCTGACCCGCACATTCTCCCTCAGACGGACGCACAAATCCGTCTGCCTCCTTGTCCACCTCTGCTCCGCCTTTCCTCTAACCCACATAAGTGCAAAATCCAAGGCTCCGCAGTTCAATTTCTCAAATTAAGTCAGACAAATGACAAACACGGTTCAGATGTTCCACTCTATGACATTTGTTAAAGACAAAAACAAATGAGATATATATATATATATATAGTTTAAGCACAGAGATATGGAATTAAGTAAACTAATCTCTTGTCTGTAATTATTTGGTAGAAAGCAGTTCAATACTGGCACACACCATTGTCAAGTCTGGCTAATACTCGAGGTTCGGTCTCACTACATAAGCTTTGAAGTTGTTAAATATTCACGGCTAAATTTAAAAACTACAGCCAACACGTCTAAAACTTAATAAAAACCTATGCCAGAGGGGAAAAACACACACCAGGCTTAACAGAAAATAATTACATGTTGAAGAAAACAAATTAAGGTCCACGGCCTCGCTAATGCTGACGTTCACTTGCTTTGAAGCTTGCGCTTTTCCCTCAAACCTGTGTGCACTGTAGGAACTAAATCACTGGTCGACATCTGTTACTCACATGTGGATTTTTGTGAACAAACACTACTGGTGGGATTTGCATTCACACCAACACCACCCTCCCCTCCAGCGGTACAACTCGCACCTGCCGATACAGAGCAGCCAAACATAACAAGAATGATTAAT